GATTGATTGTGGTGAGGAATGATTTGTACCTGCTGGTACCTTGTAGTTCGATGGTGCTTACTGCCTGTCCCCCTGCAACTGGTTGCAGGAAAAACTCCCTTTTCCAGCCTCTGCCTCTTGTATCATTGCCAACTGGAAGCATCAGTCAAACTTAGTCTGGCCAGTAATAGAACCATCGCTAGTCAGGACTCGTGTGTGTGAGTATAATTTATCATTTCTGTGTCTTGATATTCAGTAAAATTGTGTCTTTGTACTAATTAAATTTTATTATAATTAGATCTTGACTTAAACCAATTTAATTAAAAGGTACTCTCAATTTTTGACATATTCCCATTTCCATTGGCTTGATTCATGAACTTTTGCTCTGATAATCTGAGAGGCCTTCAAAAAGTTTGTGGAAAGTGGAATTAAAGTATGAATTTATGTCAGTGCAAAAAATATTTTGAAATCCAGGCACAATTTTTTTTTCATAATATGTATCTTCCATAAACTTTTTGAAAGGTTTCTTGTATTTCTTTTCATTATAAAAAGACCCTTAGAATATTGACCGAATTTTGCACGATGATCAGATGGCATTGACTTTAGCCAGTGCTGCCACGGGCTGAGGGGAACACTGACTGGCTGGTTGGGGTTGGTGGTGACTTGCTTGACTGAGTCCGAGCTGGTTTTATCAATAGAATAAAGCATCAGTCTCATTCGAAATTTTGAGATAATGGTCAGTAGTTTAAAGTAGTGGACAGACGGTCTTAATTTGAATGCCCTTTAAAGGTTCTCGGAGCAAAGAAGAATGTCCTTCTCTGGACACAAATATTTACGTCCATCAAAGTCTGCAGTCAGATCTTGGTTGGTTTCACATAAAGAGGACTGCCAGGCACCTTCCCAGGTAGGAGCATTCAGGACAGTCTCATTGGGTTTGTTTGTTGTTTATTTGCTTGCTTGTTTTTCTTGAGTGCTTGTGCTATGTTTGTTTGTACTGCAAATGTGCTTTTTAAAGCATTTAAGATACAAAAAAAAAAAAAAAAGAACAGAGAAGAAAATAGAATCACTTTACATTTTTTGATGTACTATCCAATGTTCGAAATTCATTTATAATTTTAGAAACTTTGGTAACAGTGAGATTGGTTTGTAGCCTTCTCTTTTTATCCTGTAAATGTCAGTTTTCCAAATCAGGATTATACTACCATCTTAACATAAATTAGGAAAAGTTCTTTTTTTAATGGTGCACTATAATAATTTAAATACTTCGCAATTATACATTCATGGAAAGTTTGAAATAATTGACGTAATGTCAGCTAGACTGTACAACTCTCTGGAAGTGATTCCTGAACAACTTTTAAAATTTCTGCCATGGTAATTTGACTCTTGTGTCCATGTTCGCTATTTATACTGTAATGAACACACACATATTTAATTTGCATTTTCAATTTTTTAAATGTATTTTTTTATTTCTGGCATTATAGCTTCTTTCTTATTCTAAGATGACTCGTATATTTGGTTTAGCTTTATATGCTTAATAATATATGTCTTCTTCATATGCATACAAGTAAATTTTACACTTTTAGAGTTCAAAATGGATTTCCATGAACATTAGTAACATTTATAGTTTGGCATCTCTAGGATCTGAGAATTTTAGTTACAATGACTTAAAACTTTTGGTCACTAATTCTCTGACACAATTAGGTTGAAAACTGAGAATAATATATTACCATTTACAATGATAACAGATTGAATTATATACATATATATGTCATT